AATTTTTTTTATTTATTTTAGGCAATCGTTAGATTAGCTCAAGCCAATATATCTGATAAATATACTATAAAAAGTAAAATATTTWATGTAGAAATTACAATAGCACCGGCCGCGATTTTTATAATTTAATTGATTATAATCCTGTCAATTTGAATACACTTTTCGGTTTGAAATATGATAATGAAAACAACCACGGTTTTCAGTTTCTGGAAACGATCAGTTTGACRTGTAAAATTGGAAGTTTCTGGCGTTCGGTTTGGCCGTCGGCCGCAGTGCGCTGACCATCTATGGCCAAGAGATATTTTCCGGGTTTCCTGGGATTCCGCCGGAAGTGCAATCCCCAAATGCCATTGGAGTTTCGTTTTATCCGGAATTTATTAGTCGAGTCACCGATCGGCACCACGAAGTAATTGTAATTTTCCTGCAAATGACAATAACGTCTGGTGTAAATATTTTATGTAAAAAACCTAATAGAAGTMTCACGAACTGATTTGGTAAAGTTATCAGATTCTCGCATGGGATCTATCAGTGGGCATATTCCACGGGTGTTCTACAACGAAACCGAATGTGATGTCTCTCTTATTGTCACCTACACGGAGCTCGCTTTATATGATGCCTCTGTAATGATGCGAATGGTATTTTTTTTTTTCGAACGAGAAGCCTTCCGACTAGAAAAGTCGAACTCCTCACYGGTCACGCTCATTATTATTAAATTGTATTGTTTGATAATTAAGAGTGCGCTCTCATCTAATTCATTTCCATTCATCGGGGTGACTATTTTATGTTATATTATACAAGTTGAATAATATTGCAACAGCTATCATCAAGGATTGCATTACATCGCTTTGTGTGACGATAGAAAAATTCTCTATTTTCTTATGAATTGGATAATCAAATTACTCGGCCGAGTAAGAGTTGTTGATGTGATGACTAAAATATAGGCCAATGGGCATATTCTCTGGTTTATTTTATTGATACATTTTTTARGATAGAAGTTGAGTGTATAAAACAATACTCAAAATCTTTTCTTTAAACCTATAATCTTTGTATAACATTTGTATGTTTGTAAACCCAACGCATTAAGTTTATAATATAATAATATATAATATATTGTAATGTATACTAGCCATCACAATCGTCGTAGAAATATTTACGACCAGACATAAAATGATAAAAATAATAATACAATTATTATGTTAAGAAGATAAAATATTTAAACACTYACCTTGACGGCTGGAAGCAGTTTCAAAATACGAGTATTCCGTTTAGCATCAGACATTTTCATTCTGATGGTCTTGTGCGTTCCGTCGTCCCGGTGGTGTCTGTGCTTGTGTATCTTCTATAAAACAATTGATAATTGTGGTTATTGATATATTTTAAAATTGCGTCCCATGAATATTCCATGATTACGTAACAATTAATTTATTATTTTATGGAAACTTACCGTTAGGCGATCATCGTTATTGTCCGACGTTATGATTTCCGATGATACATTTGTCGTCCTCCTATGACGTAGTCTACCATCTCCATTTATCTGTGTACGCCATTGCAKAAATCATATTTACCAGTGAGTGAAAAACAGGTATAAACACAAATATAAAAATATATAGGTACAGAGTGATTATTTTTCAATATTAGGTATGGCCAGATCCACAATTTTTTGGTCGTCAAGTTTAATATTAAAAAAAAAAATTTATATAAACTATGTTTTTGAAAAAGAATCTATATTTTATTTTAGATTGTGATTGTTTTTATAATGTAAAACCGTGCTGTTTCAATGAATTGAAATTCTGAAACTCATTATTTTTCTAAAAACGTATATAAATTATATTCCTTGGATATATTTTTTTAGAAAAGTGTATTCTAGAATATAAAATTGATATTATACGGTTTATGGCTTACAGAAATTAGGGAAAGTTCATAAAGAATATTTTTGGAAAATTGAAAATTATAGAAAAAAAACTACTAGGTAATTGACTAAAAACACTAACGGCAACATAAAAACATTCATTAAATCTTTAAGATTGGCTGAGACATTTAGTCAGTTATTAGTAAGTTTATTACGGTTAAATTATCACTCAGCAGTGTACATAATATACAATATTTTATTTAATGAAAATGTGTTATAACTTTTAATAAAAAGTCGGTATTAATATTTGCATACCTTGCACGAGAAACAGCCTTCGGTCGATATTATTTTTCCACCCGAGCTCTTGGGATACAACTCCGGTTCTATTGGAAACGTTGGTATGTCGCCCAGATCTGGTGGTCCTATGTTGGAACCACTGGTCARTGGACTAATAGTCGACAGACAATGACCCTTCAATGACAAATGACGGAGTAAGAAAAATAAATAGATAATATTACCGACAGAGTCTCGATATATTTTATAACAATCTTACAAAATCGAAGCATCATTATGTATACCTTTATTGTGGCACTAGGTTCTCTCGAATATTTAATATATAGGCATAGGTGACTTTTTTTTAATCAAATTGCCTATAACTTGTTAGGCAATTTGAGCATGCCCGTATATTATCTTTTTTTTTTGTGTCACAGATATTATAATGCGTAAAATTAAAGCTATGGTATACACGTCATATGAAAACTATTCTAGTTTTTAATAAATAATAATAATGATTTAAATGATTTAATAATAAAGGTTGATAACAATGATGTACAAACAACGTCGTAGTACAGAAAACCTTTACGCTATAACTGCGAAAAACTTCCTGTGTATTGTAGTGTAAGATTTTGTGTATGCATACCTGGCCAATCCGTTGGTAGCCCGTGGGACATCCACAAGAGAAACCGCCCTGTCCGTGTGGGGTGCAACCGAACGCGCAAGGACTTCCGTAGCATCCTATGCCGCTTCCGCCGCCTCCACCAMCATGCTGTGAAATATTTAATAATTATAATAATCATACTAGCTCGTAAGCAATACGGAAAAGTTATAAGTGGACTTACCACACAATCGGMTATTTGATCGCATATAAAAACATATAAAGAATATTATATAATAATAGACGACACGTTAGACCAGGTTAATGGGAATATATAAACATTTAGAGGACATTCTCTAWTGTCCATACTTATGTGTTAACGATTTTACGGGTGCCAGGATAACTTAATTGTAAATATTTACAGCCACTTTATTTAAAATTTGGTTTTCCGTTAAAGTGAAAGGGGAAGTATTCTTACTATTCTTCTTAAAAGCGAGTACGAATAGATACAAATTAGTGATGGTTCAAACTGTTTGAATCTCGAAGTGAGCCGAACCACACCCTTAAATGTTTGGTTTGGTTCAAAATTCGAATTTGGTATGAAAAATTAACGAACCAAACCATAAGGTATATTATTTTACCGTTTGAAAATCAAACTTGAAAGACATAAAACATTAATTACAATAAATTTTCTCTACTTTATAGTAATTAAAATGTGAGTATAATAGTAGGTATTAAATTATTAAATATCATTTTTATATTATTACGATTAGGCATGATAAAATAAAATAAAACTTTTAGTTTGAATTTCAGTTTGATAAAAAAAAATTAATAGTTCGGTTYGAGTTCGGTTTGACACCAAAATTAGGTTCAACCTATCGCAACCTAATGCAAATCTAATACAAAAAATAAAAATAAATATTTAGTTTGAAATGATAAAACGAATGCAAAAATGATATCGTACGAGAACAGGGTGTTTATGATTATTAAAAGGACACTATACATGACGATTATTTACGTCGAAATTGGCTAAAAAAAATGTGTGGCACTAGAATATAAAKGTTGTTAGAATATTGTCCATTATGTAATTATATCGTTATCGACTTCTACATAGGATGAAACACGTAAATCACGCACTACATCTACCCAATACCTATTTTATATGAACATGAAAGGGGGACGAGGTGGCCGAGTGGTCTAACGCGTCGGCTGTGGCTCAGCCGGACAGGGTTCGATCCTGGACCATCGGGCGGCATTTTTCTCCGGGCTAGTCATGGTGTCCGGAGAACAAGTGCCGCCATCCCCCCCACTTCGGGGCATGGCAGAAACCTACGGGTGCCCCAATAAAAATTCTGCCAAACAGGCGTCCGTACTAGGCCTTAGGGCCTACTCCCGGACATATAGCGCCATACGAAAAAAAAAAATGAACATGAAAATCGTATTGCAGATGTACGTATATCATACCTGAGATAACGACGGTCGGCCGTTACAACCCTGTAA